CCTAGGATAAAAGTTGGGTGAGCTTCTTCATAAGAAGGTTGGAGGAAAGGGACCTCTGTGAATAAAGAGTCATAGAAATGAGGCCGCGCTTCCTCCATTGCTGGCGCATATATGTTAACCACAGAACAAACAAAGTTGTCGTTCCGGTTGTATATATTCGCAAAAATACATCGTCCATCCATATAAGTAGTTGCGTCTTTGATGGAAAGCTGCGTATTAAGGCAAACAATAGCGCAATATTGAGTAACATAGGTAGAGAATCGAGGAAAAATGAAATTGGTGAACTTGTGAATGTGTGAATCAGTGAATGGGGAGCCTCTACTGGCAAAAACATCTTGAATACAAAGAATATCGATTTTTAAGGAGCGTGATTTGAGGTGTGATAGAAACTCCTTACAGAGTTTTGGTGATGACTCTTTGAAAATGCTGCGAACATTTAAAGAGCCTATTCTAATGTGGTTACTATTCATTAGGCCTCATGGCCATCAGCACTGGGTTTGTGTGCCGCATCTGGCTCAGTACTGTTGCGCTCTCCTTCCATTGAATCCAGCTCCATTCCTCGGGACTCGATCTCCTCCTCAATGTGTTCCTCCTCGTCTGTATGATGATCCTGAGAAATAACCACGGGAGAATCTAGATTCATATGAACTGCCACTGTATCTGAGGCCCATTGAGAGCAAGACGAACCATCAGGACGGAAAACCAGCACAGGCGGTTTCTCTCCAAGGGCTGGTTGTGCCTTGCGACGGGCTGCCTTATCCTTGACTGCTTCATATTCAGCCAACAAGGTAGAATCATCTTTCGAGCCTGAGTCTGCCTTGCAAAATCGTCGTGTGTGACCCTTATCACCACATTCAAAACACACCTGTGCCTGCAAAGTAGGGCAATTGCGACGAACATGTCCTGCTTGGCGACAGTAGTAACAAATTGGTGCAGCTCCCTTAAAAGAGGCTGGTGCGTGCTTATCCCAGTAACTGAGATACAGTTGTCGAGTCAAATTCTTAATCTCAATGGCCTTGCCATCTTTGTTCTGAGCTGCTGTTTGTGTGTCAATGATGAAACTGATCTTTCCATCAAAGAAACCTTCGCACGTAAACTTTTTGATCTGGTGAACTGTGCCATAATGTCTAAGCGATTGCTGTAGCCCTGTCAACAGTTCCTCGCTGGTAGGGATATGAAGCAGAGTGAGAACAACATGAACAAAGCTTTTGGTCGTGCTTTCCCTGGTAGGAGTGCCCAAAAATGTACGCTCTCTAACGGTGATTCCAGTCGTTATAGCTTTCTGCTTGGAGTCCTTAGATTCAAATCGTGCTTCGATCAGCATATTCTGTTTGTTTGGATTGGGAGTGTAGCCACTTAGATGTTGAAATCCTTCAACTTTGCCAAAGGTATCCTGAATCGCTTTATAAGCCGCAATATGATTGACAAAGGTACCAGGAGGAAAGGTGAACAAAACAGAGCCTGTAGTAAGTGATTGACTAACAATGCTAGCTGCTTTGCGATTCAACATCTCGGATTCAAAGCTATGCGATTTGAAGATGATTTCAGGTACGTACTTAATCGCGTTGTTTTGGGAGCTGATCCTCGGTGTATGAGGGATGCGCAGTTTGTTACCGATCTCGACAACCTTAGTCCAAGGTATTTCACCGAAGACTGTCATAGTTGGATAGGACAAAGAAGTTTGCTTTTAAAGGTCTGTTTATTATTACTACTCAAATGGCACACTCAAACTTTCTATTAGTTATGAATATGCGAAAGAGCTCGACACGATGAACAATGAATGGCATGTAAAAAGGAGATCAGGTATTTTAAATCCCGCTCTTCTTTTCTTTTTCTTACGTACAAATTGTTGCTCTCTGCTCTGCAGATTGCTCTCTTTATTAGTACTTGTAATGACTGTCTGATCAAGTTGGTAGAAAGAATAAGAATAAAAACAAGAAGACGAAAACTCTAGCCACTAGACTTCAACTACACAAACTCGAAGCGTGGTGTTATAGTGTGTTAAAGACAGCGTGACAAGATCTAATCAAAGATGAGTCCTGATGGTAAAGCAAGAAAGCCCACTACTGCTTACAACAAGAGATACAGAGGCTAAAAGGAGAGGGTTTTATTGGTGCAAATCAGGAGCCACTACCCAAAAAAGAAGAAGAAGAAGAAGCTTTAATATTCACAACACAGCCATATAGTGAATCTGAGCAAGCTGATGAGGTTATCGAGCAGAAATCAGAATATCAGTAGAGTGAGGATTGTTGATTATTTACAGAGAGTTTCTAAGCTTTGGTCTCCGAGTGCACAAGTGCTAGTATGGGGATAGGTAAGTGTGTCTTGTGTTCGAGTGGAGGCTGTTGCAGTCTTTATCCAAATACTTGCTAGTAGCTGAAGCGTGTGTGTGTATGTGTGTATGTGCGTGTTTAGCCTTAAGCCTATATGTCCTATAGTGCGATATCAAAGATAAGCAGTATCATAAAATAGCCCTGTCATAAAGCTGTTAGATGCATACTTCTTTGCTTTGATTCGATTGTTTACTATCAAGCATGTTTCCTTTGAAAGTGAAGATTGTTAAAGAGCTGAGAGAATCTATAGATAAAGTAAAATAAAATAAAATAAACAAAACTATACTTTCTCTTGTAGTATATTTATTGATGCTAGAAAAGCATTTCCTTATTATGGGCTGTTAGAATATATATATATATATATATTGCTTGTGTGAGGAACTACAGGCAAATCTTGGCTTTTGCTGCTAAGACTACAAGTCTTTTATAAGACATGATGGGTTAGAATTGGTTTTCTCTTCTAGTCATGTAAACATGTCTTTTGGTCGTCACTGATGTGAGAAAACATTGTCTACGAATCAATAATCGCTCTATTAATTCCAAAGCAACCCTTGTCCTCTTTTATCTACAGCCAAAACAAAACTGCTGTTTAAAAGCAAAGCAACTATTGGCCTTATTGATTGAGCTTTGGTGAAGAGTTTCACAAGACAAGTCTTTTTTTTTTTTCATCACTTTTAACACCTTTATATTTTTCTTATAGATTCAATCTATCCATATATGCAACTTTATACCTGTTAGAAGGCTCAATCTGCTTACCTATGCATGCATAACCCTAAGTTTCTTGCTATCATTTGGTGTACAACAAGCAACTTTATAATGCATCTGATAAGAAAATAACACAAAGGCCATTTGTTCATGCATCTCTTAAAGTGGCCAATCTCTTAAAGTAGCCAAGGCAACAGATTGATTGGCTAAGCCACCTGACTTCGAATATGGTATTTTTATTTCCAGAAAAATTTTTTTCTTTTTCAAACCCTTGTCTTTTATTTTTACATTGTTGTCAAAATAAAGACCATATTGCTCAGGGTACCTAAACTCTTGTCTAGCTAACCTATGGAGCTAAAAGAGTGCTACCTTCCAGCCGTGTAGCTGTATCTGTTCAGTGTTTTGCTTTTTTGGCGCTGTTTAGATATGACGTTGTACTAAGACCTGTGTAACCAAAAGCTGGGGACAATAGCGATTGTTTATACACGTACGTACTAACTGGCTGCAGAGATCAGGTTTTTGGGTTTACTGATTCTCAATACATAGATACTTGTACTCCGGGGTACCTGTATACACAAAGGGAAAAAAGAATGCGTAGTGTCCGCCTTCTATAGTAGCATTCATACATACAAAGATAGAAGACGAGCTATCTTTTGTCTCAAGATTGGGTTTAGCGTTGCCTGATATTCTGTTCAAGAGAGTGGCTAGCTCTTGTTCAGAAAAGAGATGCATTTGTTCAAGTCTGGTCAGCTTGTTCAAACTACTGCAAATACTTGTACTTCGGGGTACTTGTACATACACAAAGGGAAAAAAAGAATGCGCAGTAGCATTCATACATACAAAGATAGAAGGCGAGCTATCTTCAAACTACTGCAAATACTTGTACTTTGGGGTACTTGTACATACACAAAGGGAAAAAAAGAATGCGCAGTAGCATTCATACATACAAAGACAGAAGACTAGCCATCTTTTGTCTCAAGATTGGGTTTAGCGTTGCCTGATATTCTGTTCAAGAGAGTGGCTAGCTCTTGTTCAGAAAAGAGATGCATTTGTTCAAGTCTGGTCAGCTTGTTCAAACTACTGCAAATACTTGTACTTCGGGGTACTTGTATACACAAAGGGAAAAAAAGAATGCGCAGTAGCATTCATACATACAAAGATAGAAGGCGAGCTATCTTCAAACTACTGCAAATACTTGTATTTTGGGGTACTTGTGCCGTTGTATTGTGTATATCACCTTTGTTCTTAATTGAATGATAGTGATATCCCAGTTCTACTTGGAAGACTAGGGTCCGCTTGGATTAAGTTCCGGTGGTCTGTTGTTCCTGTTATTTAACGGGAATGCGTCCTTGACCTTGTTACAAAGGGAAAAAAAGAATGCGCAGTAGCATTCATACATACAAAGACAGAAGACGAGCTATCTTCAAACTACTGCAAATACTTGTACTTCGGGGTACTTGTATACACAAAGGGAAAAAGAAGGCATGGTGTCACTTTCTAGGCTGAAACTGGTCTTTCTCTATCGACAAGGCTTTCTCTCAGGTGTCTCCAAGGTTACTCAGCAAGTCTCAAGGTCAATCAAGAATGGCTCTCATGGCTCAGTGGATATCTAGTAAGTATCTTCCAATGGTGTTAAAAGTATAATACACTAAAGTCCTTTTGTTTAGGTGTTTGCAAGGCTGGTCATCAAGGTCTGTTACTGGTCCAAGACTGACTCTCTCCCTGGTTCTACCCTGTTATGGTTAGCAAGCTCAAGATCCCTAGGTATACTCTACTTATGGTGGTGTCTAAGGCGTCTCCAAGGTTGGTCATCATGGTGTGTTACTGGTGCAAGACTGTCTCCCTTTGATTCTGGTTCTTTCAAGCGTTTCAAGGTATCCATTGAAGGACTCAACAGATTTCACAATGCCGTCTGCTTTCTTCAGCCTTGTCTGTTTGAGAGTCTGATCAGCTCTTGTGCAGGCAAGAAGAGGGTTTGGTTAGGCTTGATCATCTTAATCAAATCCACAGTACACTGGTGTTTCTCTGTGGTTATGCTCTCCTTCCATAGATAAGTTTCAAATGAGAATGCATACCCTACTTACGATTTTTTTTCTCATAGGCATCCATCAAGGTACACTGGCTGTGTTTCTTTAGGCTAGCGAGCTTCAAGTTCTCAAGGTTTGTTCCACTCAAGCTGGTTTCTAGGTGGCTGAAAGGTCATCCATCAAGACAAACAGTAGGTTCAAGACTCTCTCCTACACTCTCTGTATGGCTGTGCTTCTTTTGGTCGGTTAGTTTCAAGATGACAAAGGTTGTTCTACTCAAGTTGGCTTTTCTAGGTTTCTACAAGGTGATCAAGCAAGGCGTACTGCTGATTCAAGACTTTCCCTCTGCGCTTGTGCTCTACTTTGGTCAGTGAGTTCCAAAACAACAAGCTTTGCACTACTCACCGTATTCTGTAGGTATCTGCAAGGCTATCTGTCCATGTTTACTGCTGGCTCTCGATCGTCTCTTCTTGGTTGTGCTTGGTTATGCTTGGTTATGGTTGGCTTGTGCTTGGTTGTGCTTGGTTGTGGTCAGCAAGTTCCACGATCACAAGGTCTGTTCTACTCAAGTTGGTTCCCTAGGCGTCTTCAAGGCTATCCATCAAGACAAACAGTAGGTTCAAGACTCTCTCCTACACTCTCTGTATGGCTGTGCTTCTTTTGGTCGGTTAGTTTCAAGATGACAAAGGTTGTTCTACTCAAGTTGGCTTTTCTAGGTTTCTACAAGGTGATCAAGCAAGGCGTACTGCTGATTCAAGACTTTCCTCTGCGCTTGTGCTCTACTTTGGTCAGTGAGTTCCAAACAACAAGGTTTGCACTACTCACCGTATTCTGTAGGTATCTGCAAGGCTATCTTCCATGTTTACTGCTGGCTCTCGATCGTCTCTTCTTGGTTGCTGGCTTGGTTATGCTCGGTTATGCTTGGTTTGCTTGGTTGTGGTCTAGCAAGTTCCACGATCACAAGGTCTGTTCTACTCAAGCTGGTTCCCTAGGCGTCTTCAAGGCTATCCATCAAGACAAACAGTAGGTTCAAGACTCTCTCCTACACTCTCTGTATGGCTGTGCTTCTTTTGGTCGGTTAGTTTCAAGATGACAAAGGTTGTTCTACTCAAGTTGGCTTTTCTAGGTTTCTACAAGGTGATCAAGCAAGGCGTACTGCTGATTCAAGACTTTCCTCTGCGCTTGTGCTCTACTTTGGTCAGTGAGTTCCAAACAACAAGCTTTGCACTACTCACCGTATTCTGTAGGTATCTGCAAGGCTATCTATCCATGTTTACTGCTGGCTCTCGATCGTCTCTTCTTGGTTGCGCTTGGTTATGCTTGGTTGTGCTTGCTGTGCTTGGCTGTGCTTGGTTATGCTTGGTTGTGCTTGGTTGTGGTTAGCAAGTTCCATGATCACAAGGTCTGTTCTACTCAAGCTGGTTCCCTAGGCGCTTCAAGGCTATCCATCAAACATACCGATACCTCAAAACTGTCTCTCTCTGATAATGCTCTATTTAGTCCGTAAGTTTCTAGATGGCGAAGGTTTACTCTACTTACATTGGTTTTCTAGTTATCTGCAAGGTCTTTTGTACAAGTATCACTGGACTTTCAAGACTGGTTTTCCTAGCTCTGGTTCTCTTTGGCCTTCCAAGGTGTTTGTTCAAGGCTTCAACAGGTCTTCATGGTGTGCGTTTCCTTCTTTGAGTCTTCTTGTTTCTGCTTAAGGGTCTGATCAGCTCTTGTGCAGGCAAGAAGAGGGTTTGGTTAGGCTTGATCACCCTGATTAGATCCACAATATGTTTGTGCTGTGTTTTTTTTTACTAGTGTCTCCCCTCTCCTTCTAACTTGTACTTTTCTTTTTTGTTGTCTTTGTGTTGTATTTACAGATAGATTAGGTGCTTTTCTCCGTTTATGCTGTTCGTTTAGTTCGTGTTTTATCGTTTCCAAAGAAGCTATAAAAAGCCCTCTCTTGTGTATACTCTACAAGCATTGTGGTGTTGATTAGCCAAAGCTTTAGGTTTTTTTTCTTTTTGTCTTACTGTCATGCTCAATGTTGGTTTGATCTTTAGGTATTCCTCAAGCTTAGTGTTTGTTTCTCTTGTTTTTCTTTTCTTTTTTTGGACTGAAGAAGGTTTTGTTGGTGTCTTTAATGTAAGTAATAGTTGTCTTTTTCTTGTTTTACAGTCAGTGCTTGTGGTTGACTAGATCTTGTGCTTGCACATTGTCTATTCATCTTTAGTTATTGGCAAAAACAGTCTTAAATAAAATTAATGGATTAAATCCACTCACGTCTGCTGAGATTGAATAAGCTAAAAAAAATCCCATTTGAAGGCCTTGATAAAATAGCGCTAGCAATAAAAGTGATAATTATTCATCATGCTTTCCTATCGCCATCTTTTATTTATCAAATGGCAAACAACAACTGATTAAATATAAGCTTTTCTTAGGTTAGAAAGCAGTAAAAGATTTCTTTTTATTGGTTTGTTTTGTTTGTGTTATGCAATTGAACAGTGATACACATCGTATTGTCTATCTCTTTAAAACGCGTAATGCCCTCTTGAAGATTAACTTTTCTTTGCTCATATTTGAATACAACAAGGAAATAAATTGCTATCTATGTATACCTCTTTAAAGAACAAAAAGTAGAGGTCTAAAAAATAAAAGGAATACTTGGACTGTATTCTCTCAATATAAACAATGATATCAGTATGATTATGTCCTCTTTCCTCCTTTTCTTCTTCTTCTTTTTTCTGTTACTTTACTCTTCTACTCTCTTGGCCTCGTATGCAAATCTACTAGCCTCTTCTCATCCATCAAGGAGGTAGATAATTATTCTAAAAGACACGTTTACTGACTCTCTTATAGGGAACCACTTGTTTCCGTACAGTGATGTTCCAAATGCCCTCTTCTTGTCGGCGATGGCATCCATTCGGCCCTGAACTACGCAGGGCCAGTTTGGGCCGGTTCATTCGGCTCTGAACTACGCAGAGCCGCGTGGGCTATGAAAATCAGCACATTAGAGGGTAGCATGATGGCTTTGGTCTTTTGGTAAGTTATATATGCTTGAAAGCTTTTTTTTTTAATCATCATTCTAGTTACTTGTTTCCTGGTTCATCAAGGCTCTCTTTCTATGCTTTACTCTTCTGGTTCTATTTCTGGCTCTATTTTGTATTTGGTGAATCTTTTTCAAACCTCTTCTTCGGACCTCTTCTTCAAAATAATTGCCTCTTCCTGATATATGAAATTACTTACACATCATTAAAAAAAATAAACAAGTCATTTTTCCTTCTTTTCTTATCATATATAATCATGATAAATCATTAATGTGCTTATGCTTCTGTATTATTCAAAACTGCTATGTTTAAATTGAATTCGGGTAAAAGCTAGCATGTCTATGAAATAAACAGGTTTTCAATATGAGACAGACCTAGGTGTGCTTCCTTTTTATAAACAAAAATTGCAGCTTAGATGATTTTACTAAAGGTACTAGAGAAGACATTTATTATGTTCAGATTACCACGATGGCTTTGTTAAGTTGGAACTCTACTAGAAAGAGAATTGCAGGGTTGAACTGTAGCTCCGTATTAAAGAGCATCTCGCTTTCATAATTTTGAAGTAATGAAAGATAAAATACGTTTGTATTGATTCAATATATATAGATATATAGATATATAGATATATAGATATATATGTTCTTGGCATAAATACTTTTGTAAGATGAGGTTTTGGTTGTGCTTCTTTCTTAAAATACAGCTAGTGAATCAAGTTATTTTCTTTATGAAGTAGCCTATTCAAAGTGTGTTTTTATAAGCTCTGAATATGATTGTCATTCATTATTTTCAAGGGCCAAATACTGCTAAATCAAATAAAATCATTATCAGGGTTTATATGTACGAAGCAAATAGAAAAAAAAAAAAGAAAAAAGGCTTATTGTTCAAGGTTGCTTTTCTTCAGAGGCAGGGTAACTGTAGGCGTTACAAGCTTGGTCAAAGAAGCAAAAGAATTTTTCTTTCTTCTCTTGTAGATACAAGACATTTGTTCATTTATTAGCTCTTTAAGCCAACAGAAAGAGAGGACGGTGTCAGGCAAAGAGCCCAGATCCATTTTTCCGCGAGGGAGCGAAAACACATCAAGTTCCACAAAAGTGTAGATTCCATGTGAGGTCAACTCACACACAAAAGAAGAACACATTTCACCATCAACAAACAACGCAAAGCACTTAGGTGTACGGACACCAAGAGACACCTGATGATCAATAGATCGTTTGCACTCTAGAGCCAGCTTAGAGCGATCACTCAAAATTTGACTTGACTTGGTTCCAGGCTTCTTGACCTCCACGCAAAGCAACCCAAAAGAATTATCGTCGATAGGCAGAAAGATGAAAAAATCGGGTTTAGCTTTGCTGCTGCTGCTGCTGTCTGAATTGGGATGGCCATATGGTATTTTTTCATAGGACCGTGTGGATGAGACATTCTTGTCACGCAAGAGTATGTTTCTCAGAAACGGATACAGTTCTTGTTCAATGAAGTCTTCTTCAGTTCTACACTCAGTCCTCCAGTTTTCGAAATTGTCAAACATTTCTTGAACAACTCGTACCAAGGCATCTTCTTCTTCCTTCTTCGATTTCTTTGCATACCGCGACATCTGGTACTGCAAGTACTGCACATCTTTTCTTTTTCT